AGAGAAGAAGATATAGGATGAGCTTAGAAAAAATTATACAAACAGGGTAGAGGGACTCTTTGTATATTGCAAACTTAAATTTATTCAGAAATACATATAAAGATAACAAATAAAATATAGCTGAATGTACGATTTCTGAAAAGCAAACTTTGCGAAAAGAAGATCAATGAAGATGAACAAATTGTAATTTGTGAATTGGGTCATAGTTTAGGAAAGAAAACTAGATAAAAATTTTGTGGATGACAATAAAACAATGATTGGTAGGTCCAAGTAAGAATGTTAATCATCAAGAATTAAATGGTACTTCCATCTATCCTAGTGAGGCACGCAAGAAGAAAGAGAGAGAGAATTTGCATTCAAGGGAAAGGCAAACACGTCAACTTCATGAAAAATAGATCAATGAGGACAGTTGAAAGCACCACTTGCCATCCTCATTCCAATAATTGGAAGCATCACATCACCACACAATATACACACATACGAGGAGAAGGACTACACGAAAAAAAGCGCAAACATATAGGCAAGATATAACCTGTGGCCATGGGACAAGAGATCATCTACATTTGCTATTGATATCAAAACCAAGCTACAAGATGATGGCAAAAGCTACAGTTCATTCTAACTCGCGGCTCCAATGTACCGACGGGTTCTCAGTTCTCACACAATACGAGACATACAATCTCAGTCTTAATCCGTACACAGTGGAATCCCCAGAAAACGGCCCTCTCAAGAGAATGATTTGCATGTCATGATCTATCAGTCAATCACTTATTACTTGTTTAAAGAAAATTGATAACCAAAACATTGAACACCCAGTAGAAAGTTAGTGGCCGCCTGTGGACATCAAAGGCTATGCAGGCATTGAACCTGTAAAAGTACCCTCACAGGTGGCCCATGGAGGAATCAAACTGTAGCTGTTATAAAGGACATATAGCATATTAATGCTAAAAATTATCTGCAAAAGGGTTCCATCTTTGTGGAATTACCAATTTCAAAGTTTTCAAAAGAATTGTCCTACATTGTCCTGGGTCTTTTTCATAGCCTCAAATAGAAAGGCAAGCTACTATCACCAAGAAACAGAGTATAGGAGCTTTGAATGCATTTTAATCTCATATAAAAGGACCTGATAACAAGAAGCAATATTTTAGCAGTGTTACCTTAATGTACATCAACATTCTATCCAATTTTTTGTATTTACCATCCACAGCTGATCTAGTTCCACGCTTCTGGCGAGTTATAAGAGAGGACAGCACTTCCATGGCAGTTTCATATGCAGATGAAAGAGGCAACTCTTGCAAGTTTTCTCCGATGATCGAATTGCTGTCCACCTTCTCCTCAATTTGAGTTGACATCTTTGTAAATCTAACACCTGTACACGAATCAAAACATGCAAACAGGAAACTCAGGGTTAATGATATCCATCTTACACATCAAAGGAAATGAAAACTTATGTGATACTGCGGTTCTCATAATTTTGCATTGATGAAAGTTATTGTGAAGAACTGGCATTCTAAAAGCTTCAGCTTTCAAAGATGGTGCACTAAAGGATCTATACCATCATAGCCCCCTCGCACGTGGACGTGGGTGGCGCACCAGTCATAAGGTGACATGTGGACCCCACTTGCTGCACTAGTGACCCCCAAGACAAGCGCAACGAGCCAGAATTCCACCGGACCAAGGAAGACCCTTAGCCTGTTGACTACTTGTGCACTTGGGTGCAATGTCCCCCCGGAACCAGGATGGGTGTCTGAGCATTGATTCACCTTGGGATACTCGCTCTGTATGCATTAACTGACGTCACGCATGACAGAGGACAAGCGACTATTCTATAGCCGTTACATCAACATCGAGGCCAACAACAGACCCCGCGAATGACGACAGAAGGCACGACCCTTGCTGATGTGGAACGACCGAGTGATGCCCCGAGGGGCATCTCAATGAATGCTCGGCACTTGGTCATAAATGCTCAGTGCATCTCACTCGATGATCAACGTGGTTCAATAAATGCTTGGCGGACATCATTGAATGCTCGGCTCCCAAAGCACTTATGAGACATCCCCAAGCGTACTAAATGCACGGCTCAAGGATGGGAAAGCCGTTGATATGACCGCCTCAAAAGATGATTTCAACTATAAGTTGTCAAACCTACCAGCTTAGTGTGATACACAAGTTTTCCAGTCATCATCTCTCGAGGTATAAATAGCCCAAAGAGTTGGACCCCAAGTACACACATTCAAAACTAGACCTACATTGTTCAATCCTCTTTGCCTTGAATGGTAACTGACTTAGGCTCAGAGCGAATACGCCGGACATGTCCCTGGCCCCCATTCTAGCCCCATTCCTTGTTTGTAGGAATCTCATCCTTGTTCATCCAAGTGTCACTATCTCAAACTATTGAGCAAGAATCGACCCATGCATATCCCATCCTCCCCCCCCCCCCAAACACACACACAAAACAAAAAATGAGTAAGCTAAGCACATAAGCTAACATGCATGTATTGTTAGTATCAAGATAACATCCAAATTAAGACATAGGAACTGCCTGTTATGATGTCATGTTAACAACCAACTATTCTAAAAGCTTGTAACATCCACCAAATCCAAGACAGTAAAAGGGAATTCCAAATGAGCTTCAATCAGATGATGAACCAGAAGAAGGGAGCAAACAAAAACATAAGCCAAATTTGTAATATTGAAGAAACATCCAAAACAAGGGTTCCTCTCCCCAACCTAATTTTCTACTGCTATGCACTAGGTTTTCCATTCATTCCTCTTATCTTTCCTTAAACATGATAGAGGAAAACTCAACTATCAGAGAAATGTTATCTCTTGAGCGTTAGTTTGATAAGCCTCATTTCGATAATTTGATAAGGTCAACGTATCCGTATCGAATATCCTGTCAAATTCAATGCTCATCAAATATTCGAACATATGTACTGGATGCACATCACATAGATATCCCATAATAAACAAAATAACTGGGTACCTCACAGATACGCATAGAAGTACATAGAATTTTTTTTTCTTCTTTTAATCTTTACATTTTCAATTCACGGGCAAGACAACACAACTTTCACAACAATGGGTGACTCTTGAGTCTCGTCTACTATCAAAGTGGTGAAAAAGCATAAAATGAGTTAACTAAAACTTAAATCTTGACAACAAGAGTTTTTTAACCAAACCAACTAGTTAAATATTAACTACAATTACCTTAATAAATCATGCTTACTTTGTAGATACACTATAATAAGCCGATCTATACTTCTTTAAAAGTGAAATTATATTGTTGATTAAGAATGTATTGAAAATTACAACTATGAAGTCGTCGGATAACAAAAATATAAAATATGTTCTTCACAAACATATCCTGGCATATCCATATCCTATTTTGTTAGTGAATGACTCCTCGATGTATAAGTGTCATCAGGATCTGGGCTAGAACATAATTTGATGAATAAAACTTTCAGAAAAAAAAAAAACTGGACACAGATCTGAACACTCCAGCACACTAAGTTATGTTATTAAGAAAATATAGGGCATAACAGACCAACAATAACCAGGGACCCCAGCCCCCTTCGTATTTCAGTTAAAGCACATAGTTATAACACCATTCTCCTTCAAGGAGTCTGATAAAATTCACAACAAATTCTAGAGAGAGAATGCTCTTTCATTTATTCCTAATGCATAAGAAAAAATAATCATCACAACACAGATAAAAAGGGTGATGAAGTGTGCGTCGAGATCAGGTTTACCTTTCTGCCTAATGTTTGCCTGGGAACGCAGCCTTTTGGTTGCCGTGAGAAGAGGGACATCTAGACAAGCGGGCAGGCATGAAGTAGTCCATTTTGGCGTAGAGGAATATTGATGTCCCCTCTGATGGAACAGTGATACGCCAAATATTCCCTCTCGGTGGTAAATGTTAGTGCAACCAAGCATCAGGTGAAATTAATCCTGCAAACCACAGTCGATGCCAATTAACACAGTGAAGCAGAGGTTCTGCCAAGAAAATTGTGGATGACAACTTGAGTATGCCTGAAAACTGAGACCCATTAAGCTATAATGTGTATTAGGTGAATCCATATTCCCTGAAAACAAAATACTTCAAGGAGAGGGGGAGGGTGAGAGAGAGATAGGGAGAGAGAGAATTAACACAGTGAAGTAAAGAGGTTTCTGCAACTAATTTGTGGATGAAAACTTGAGTATGCCTGGAAAATCAACACCCATTAACGTCTGAGGTGTATTAGGTGAAGTCATATTTCCCTAAAACAAAATGCCTCAAATAGATCCGCATCTCCAACCAAGAAGAATACTGGGGAACAGACGCAACACCCACCAAGAATGAGAGAGAGTAGAAGAGAAGAAGAGACTTGAACGAGAGTATTCAAGTTTGTACCTAAAATCAACTTGGCAAATGCCGGATCATCACTATACAAGCCCATATATACCGCCTTGACGCTGAATTCGGTCCGTCTCTGTCGGTCAAAGGATATCAGTGTCTGAAATGTCTTATGACTAGGGGTAGACACTGCTGAAGGTACCGTGCCGTGATTGATTTATGATTTCGAGAGACATGTTTGTCATTGGACAAGGATGAGTACGTTAAAATAAATTTACTGAAATGTGTAATTTTGAGAAATGTTGATAAATTATTGAAAATTATATATTTTTTATATTATGAATATAAATAATTGTGGTCATGGCTGTGGTAAAGTGGCAACGGCTTTGCTAAACAATGACACCGACACACTCGATTTTGGGGTTTATCATTTTATGGGTGTCCACTGTCCACAAACAGCTGCTTTTTTTTTTTTTTTTTAAATAAAATATTTTGGGGTCAGAAACTTTAGATACCGGAAAATAAGATCAGATGTGTATAATCTTATTTTGTATGCTTATATGCAGAGAAATTACTTTTGTAACTCAAACCCTTAATGCTTAAATCTCAATAAAAATAATTTATTATTACACCAAATAAATACTAAATAAAAATATTATATGAATCTAATCTGACTATGTAACACAGATTGTGACAACTAAAATAGCTGATTTTTTTTAATTCAAAAAATAATTGAAATTTACTATTAAATTAATTATTACAATTCATTAATCTCCAAATTAAGAGTTAATTACTTAATTATACTATGGATCCCCAAAGTATAAGATTTATCTTATTTTAATTCTCAATATTTTAATTTTTTAAACAAATAATATTTAAATTATTAATAATTTTTTATCATATATGAATAAAAAAATTATTTGAATAACTCTCGGCCGAATTGTGGATGACGTAAGGTTGTCATATCAACTGCTTTGCCACATATTCCTTGGTTTGCCACGGGACCACTAGCAACACCTGTCTCAATTTTATAGGTTACCACAAGAAATTATTAAAGTAAGTAAATACAAAACCGATTATACATAATTATTATAAATAAGTTAGGGTTAATAGCATTTTTAGTTTCTAAAGTTCAAATTTTTTGTCAGTTTAGTCTTTAATCTATCAATTTGATCCCTAAAATATTCAATTCGTATCATTTTGATCTCCACATAAACGGATCGTTATGTTTTTGACAAAATTATCACTTGATGAGTATGTGATATAGTTTTAAAAAATAAGTGGTCGCTTTCGTAAAAGAATTGAACGGTCCGTTTATGTGGGGACCAAAATAACACGAATTGAATATTTTAGAGACCAAACTAATAAAACTAATACAATAAAAACTAAACAGGCCAAAAATACTATTAACTCAATAAGTTATTTACAAGTTAAGCGCACTTTAATACAAACAAAACTAAAAAAATGACACGAAATTAACACAACACTACAAATTTTTTGTTTCAACCGTCAGAGATGTTTGAATCAACTTATATACATCTCAATTAATTTCTATTCTAATCCTGTGAAAGACAAATTATCCAGACTACTAATTGCAAACTCTAGGTAGATGATTAGTTAGGCCAAAATAAAAAAGTAAAACAACAAAATAATTGAAGTTTGACCATTTTCTCATGTAGCCAAAGCAAACAACTTGATATAAAATATGGTGGGTGCCCATGTTGATAAGTTTTCAGATCCGTAAATATTGGAATGAGAAAGCATGACAATCACGCCAAGCACCGTGGCATCTCTCCTTATAATAAATTCTCCGACGTGTCGTGAAACACTTAAGTTAAAGGTAAAATTAGTGTACAATTATATTGTCTATTGAAATTTAATTTAATAATTTAAACGATCAAATTAAAATATCAAATTACACTAATTAAAGCTAAAAGATGTTGTGTCAATTATAGTTTAGTCCATTGTTTAATTTTTTAGTTTTATTATAATAGATAATATAATTATATACTAACTATAATTTTTTTTTAAAAAATAGATTTTTTATTTTTATTTTATTTCTATAAATGACATAATAGAATATAAATTCTATATGTAAAATTCATGTTCTATTATGAATGACTTAGGCCCCTTGTTCGATTTTTTAATTTTATTCCAATAGATAGCATAATTGTATACTAATTACGATTTTTTAAGAAAAAATTAAATTTTTAATTTTAATTTTATTTTAATAAATGATTCAATAGAACATGAATTTTGGTTCAAAAATTTAAAATATTTGATATTCTATCTTTGATAGGAGTATTTTTTGTCTAAGTACAATATTTTAAACTTAAGAGGTCAAAATATTATATATCTACAAATTTTAAAGGGTCTAAGTATAATTTAATAACTGACATATTTAGAGTATGAGTCTAAATATTATGTACGTACAAATTTCAGAGGATTTGTGTGTAATATTTTAAATATCAATGGGTCTGAGTGATTAAGTAATAAACTTTAAGGGGTCTAGGTGTAATTCTTCCTATTATTTATTATATTTTTTTTTTTTGGGGTGTTTTATTATTTTGTGGCAAAAGTGGTAAAAATATACATAAAAATAATAAATCATTCACAAAAATTATGAACTTCTTTTCGTAAAATAATCTAATAAAATTATTAAAACATTCATTAAAATAGTAAAATTTAGGGATATAATACCAAATTTTTGTTGATAGCACAGTCAAGTCCTATTGTTTAAGGTAAAGTGGCGGTCTGACAATACTTAGAGTGTGTTTGAAATGACTTAAAAAAAAACACTTGTAAAATTTTTAACTTATCATAAGTATTTTTTTTTAAAAAAAGTAATGTTTGGGATAACTTCTCAAAAACACTTTTAAATAAGTAAAAGTAATTTTAACACTTAAATAAGTTAATAAGTAAAAGTAAAAAAAAATAATATTTTTTTTTTATAAAACACTTTTTTTTCACGATCAGCACCCCTGCCTCTCCGACATCCACGACACCCCCTGCCTCTTCGACATCCACAGATGACACCAATCACCTCGCTGATCATCGACGACGCTCGACTAAAGTTCAATTGAAAGAGTGGGAATCTGATAACCATCAACTTCAATTTTAACCTCCGACGATTTAGGATCAACGAGCCAAAATTGAATACTATGAGTCACTCCAAGCCCAAACAGATGATTCTTCACATCAATAAGCTTCCCAAAAAAGCCGTTAGATCGAAATCATCGGTTGGTAAATCAAAAGCCCCAATCAAAACCACTGGTTCCCAAAACAGTGGATTAATTTCACCAGTGAAGATAATCAAAAATGGCACCACCGATCCAACCAAAGATCCATCGATTCTCACTAGAATTTTCCAGTAAGCTTTGTGGCCTCGTCAGGTGGTCAAGTTGTTCATTTCTATATATAAATCTGGCGGATTTGAATACCAACACTCATCATCTCCATGAAATGACACATAAATTTCAATTACAATTTTCCTAATAAGATTTTGATTCTGAGGAAGTTGAGATGAAGACATGCTAACGGCGTGAGCTTGGTAATCGAGGAAAGTAAAGTTGACATGGTAAACGCCAGTGTAAACAACGTTTTGAGGTCCATGTTCAGTGACTGATGCCACATATAATTTTAATTAAATATTTTAATTTAAGCCTTTTTTAATTTTAAATATCCAAACAATACTTATTTAAGGAAAATATTTTTCTTATAAGTATTTTTGATAAACACTTATTGAAAAAGTATTTATGGAATTTTATAAGCAATTTCAAATGCACTCTTAATATGCGGATCACTTGTCGGAATAATTCTAAATTCCTTTTACTACAATGTGGGAATCAATGTCCAAAGTATACTAATTTCTAGAGTCTGATTGTCGTACTGAAAAATAAAAAATAAAAATGATACCGTATCATTTATCAATATTTTGAGTATTTATATCATTTTTTGAGCAAAGTTTGTTAACTTTTAAGTTTCAAATCCCTCGACTTCAAAGTACATCGGACAAAAAATCAATTGTCAAACCCAACATCTACATGAGAGGCCAAACACTTCTTTTGTGTCTGGTCTTTTAATAGAAATTATGAGAATCATGCAATCTTCTGCTTGTGTGAAGTTTGAACTTGTACGACATATGATGAACTTTTTTTCGGTGGTGAAGAAAAAATTTGATACCATACAATTATTTATAATTTTTGTAAGTATTTTTATAATTTTTGTAAATATTTTCATTATTGTTATAAAAATATTCATTAAAATTAAAAAATTTAGAGTTATGATACCAATTTTGTTTTGGTTCCGTAATCTTCTCCGTAAATTACATATAATCAACTTAATTGTTCTAATAGGTCTCAAAAACAACTTACTTTTTTCACTCATCTTTTTCACATTTAACAAAATTTATATTGATTCATTAATGGATAATTTGCATCATAATTCTAAAATTTATTATTTTAATGAGTATTTTTT